TGGACGATATCCAGAAAACAGTTTACTTCATTAACACAGAATGTAGTAAAATATAATTTGATTGAAAACGCAACAGGTTTCGTATGCCATTGTATTATTACTCTGAGCATTTTGCCACTATTCGTAAGAAATTCTCCACTGTAGCTTGTGTTTCTTATTTTTATTTTTCCCTTGTCTTCCATTACTAGTCGAAATCTTCGTATTTCTACACAACCATCTTTCTAATTACGAAATTTTCTCTCATTCGCATCAAATAAATCCACGAGTCGAGCCAATACGTGGGGGAATTGGAATATAATGTTGATTGGCAACGGGAAAATTTATTGTGATTAGTGAAATCGATTACTTCCATTCTGCTATGAGGTGAGTTCAGTCGAGTCGTTTTCTAACTGTTTTTGGGCCGATTCTGACGTCAGTGCCTTGCTTGCAAGCTGTTACAATTCCGATAGTAACGGTTGTGCTGACAGTAACAGCAATTATTATCTAGAATGCTTAAGTGGTGTCACTACGTGGCCTGGGCCCGTGTGAAATTTGATATTTTAATTCGGACATATAATACGTGGGAAGTTTTCACAGTTGCGAGGATGATATTGTTCTTTTGGGTTTTGGCGTCACATTAGAGACTCGTCGGTAGACGCCAACGTTTTGGATAAACATACTGTCTTCATCTTTAGCCCTGTAGATGGAGACTGTTTTTTCTCCGGCGCCTGAACTCAGAAAAAATTAATATATTCCAAACATTCCATTAAGATGAGACAAAGTACAGATTTCCTTTCGTCTGTAAGTAGTTGCCATAACGTAATTATTCTTGCCTAAGAAAGAAGCCCGTATCTACAATGAAACTACGCTGTTCATCAGAAATTAAGGTTATCGAGATTGAGGAAGTTTAAATTTGGAATTTGAAGCTCCTGGCTTTTACCGGTAGTCGTGAATGGCTCACGATTCCTTGGTAAGCAACGTTTGAACTTCATACTGGCCCAGTTTGAACAGATCTGAAAACTGTAATAGAAACTCTATTTAAAATGGGTTTCCTTGCTAACTGCAATGCGCAGAGAAGTTTGTTGCTTGAGTTATGTAATTATTGTAAAGAAACACGTCACCGCTGCAGTTAACTTACTTGTTTCCAGTTGTCATGACATAATCTGTCGGGTCGGCGGACCATGATAGAAGTGACAAGCGAGTGTTGTATGATCACCTTGGCAAGATAGTGTCTTTCACCGCAAGACCTTTACGTGGCCACACCCGCGGTCGCCGCCATCATGTGTCTTTTCCAAGACATTCCCACATTACGCTCGAAGAACGTTGGCATATGAATCCGTTTAGAATACTTCACTATTTTTTAAGGATTTTTGTCGTGTGCCGGACCGCCTTGCAGTAACCTTTGAATCATGCGATGGAAGTACAATTCTATACCTGCATTGGTCTAACAATAATCCTCGCAGTCTGAATCTCATCAGAAATGTTGGACTAATTCCATGGAGAAGGCAGTCGCGCAACTAGTCATATTTCCCACCTTTTATGGAACGCGAAGGTTCATTAATCTCTTTACAAGCAGTATATTGAGTCACTGGAATCCAACACAATTCCACACGACGTATTTCTGGAAACTGTGTTAGACATCCACCCATCTACGATTAGGTCTCCCAGGTGCCCTAATCCTTTCGGAAGACTTGGGAAATATATCATGTCACTAGAAATCACCATACCTTTGTATGCCAGCTTTCAGAAAAAGTCAAAATTTAGCTTTCGGTTTCATGACGGTAACTACTGAATCAATGTAGCCTGACAAGTGAAATTTGCCATGGGGATATATCATAAACGTTCCAACAAAGTGTATGAAACGTTTTCTTATATCGAAACAATACAAACAGCTGTGGTAAGAAACATAGATTCTGATCATGTAAGTTGTCTAAAACTACACTAGTAGAAATTGTAGCCAGGAATTGAGCATTAAATTATGTGAGTATGTAGTTTTCGCTTGTCTTAGCGTATTTATGAAACATCTGACGAAAGTAGACATCGTAAATTTATCCAGAAGCACCTCCTTGTCACCTGAAGCTGGCTGCAGCTTTAAGTTGGAGATTATTTGGGCGTAGGACTTTTTACTCTGACCAGTGTAATATGTGATGTTTGCATCTTATTGAATGGATCAGGGTTGATTTATTTTGTTGTTGATGCTTTATAATTGTGTGTAAATTGCAAGAAATTTTGCCTGTCCATCAGATGTTCACGTGTTTTCCAGCAGTGAACTTCAGATCATTATATAGTCTGAAATGCATTGCCTGATCATTTATAAATGAAGGTGAATATTAAGAAAATTCATTAATGACTGCCCTACAGTTAGTTTAAGATTACAGTGAACCCTGTTTCTGTGCGTACCAAATTAAAGTTAGTAAACTGTAATCTTGTAAACCATTATACAGTTCAGTAATAAAAGAAAAACAGATTATGATGCTGATTAAACATGGAAGAACAAGAATAATTTTCAACATCTGCATTCCTTCAAACGTTTCAGTGTGTTTGATTAGGATATGAGGAACTTTATACTGTAAACAGGACTGTAGTAAAGGATTCTGGTAATTTTGGGGACTACAGCATTAATATTAAAAGTTATGCTTTTATGGTGGGTTCCATCACAGCTGTTTCAGCAGACAAATACAGGATGAAACTAAAAGTAGTGACTGAAAGTAACAAACTTTCAGCATAGAGGAATTTTTGCCTTACAAGTGTAAGAAATGTATGTTTTGGGCATAGGTAAACTATTTGAGGACAGTATAAATGTGAGATAAAACGTTTCCAGACATTTGGAACATTTTCAGCGGGTTTTAAGTTTACTTTGTTCAACTCTTGTTTTCATGTGCCACTAGTCTCTTATAGTTTTTTTTTTTTGTATTTTCTGTTATAATAAGAATTATCTGAACGGATGGTAATTAAAGAAAAGCCCATAAGTTAGTCTTTCTATATACCCTTCTTTATTTATTCTTTTGTTTCGTGCATTATGTTTCTCCCTCACTTTCTTACTAATTGTACATTACATTTGTTTTGTGAATGTGTACGTGATACTTACGATGTCGGTTTGTTGCTTGTTTTATAATACTGGTACAGTGTGGTGAAAAAGTGCTTTGGTCAGCAAAGAGCAGTCAGTAGGAAAAAAATGAACTTGTGCATTAGATATGTGTATTATATTGATTGACACATGTGGTATGTATCGTTGTCAGTAGATGAGATGTTTGCTAGGTACTCTTGTGAAAAGATATAATTAAAATATTAAATCATAGCGTATGCAAGTAATTGTGTTTTTATAACATGTTATTTTGCACCTTTGATGTTTCTGCAGATGATTATATGATCGTTGCTAAGTATAGTGTGTGCGCAGAAAATATTGTATTATCTGCAGCAGTCAGTTTGCAGTTTCCTTGTAAAATATTCGTGTTGCTTCTCCTTATAAAACCATCTGTTTCGTGAAAGTGAAGGAAAAGGTTTTGGGTTGATCCATTGTCACAGACTAATCCAATAAATCCTTGTTGAAAGAAAGCGTTATAGTTTCACATTTCCTGAAAAGTAAGTAGGATGATATTCAGTCGAACTTTCGTCCTTGTTTTATGACATATTAAAGTCTTCAGTGTAGTTTTATTGATTGAAGTCTTTTACTAATTTGGATAAATTAGGAGAATAACTGATAAGTTAATAAACTTGCTTAGCTGGATATTGGTTTATGAAAAGAGAGGTTTAGTATCCATACAGCCTGTGCTATATATGACGCTCAAATCAAACTTTATATGGTTGAATGTACATAAAATAATTGTATATCAAAAAATTAAATTTATATTTTCAGTGTGGAACGTATTTAACAAAATACAGGGATAAACAATTTTGGGCTGTCTGTAGAGCAAACGTCTTTGAAACCGTGCATTTGTATCTGCAGCTTCATTTACTGTCGAGGTTGTTCATATTTATTCTGTTCTCAGAGAACAAGTTCGTATTTGGTGTAAGTTCCATTAGAAAGATGTTAAAAGGTTTTGCAAATCAGCGCTTTATATAATATAGCCTATAAGATTTATTGAAGAATTAAATATTGTATCATATGAATGGCCATACAATGTAGCAATCAAAATTTAAATTAAGATCATTGGAGTAAAGAAGAATGCTTATTTGAGAGATATTTTGTAGACAGGTTTGAAGTAATGAGACTACAGTACACTGCAAGATTTATACCAGAGATAAATATACCTCAAAGTCAGTGAGATATGTAAGATTGCAAAGGATGCATTTTTGAAAGTACGTGTGTTTGATTCTCTACTCTGGCACGGTTCATTGAAGTCTCTGACATTTGTTGTTCAGTTCCCATCTGAACTTGTTTCGTGGAACTCTTAATCAAGCAATGGGGAAATTATATTAAAATATAGATGGAAGTCATACATGAAATGTCTTTACACATGCAGAATTTTCCAGAGATTGCCGTCTGTTTGTAGAGATGTTGGACATTTATTTTTCTTTTGATACAGCTTCACAGCAACAATGAAATATTTTTCTCTCAAGGAATTTCTGAATGAAATGTCAGTATTATACAAGTTCTAGGAAGAACTATTTTGACACCTGCTTTCTAACAAATACTTCCATCTACGAGAAGAGTCTAGGAGGAAATTACAAAGAAATGTAGTGAGCCATCTGCGTAATTTCCATTAGTTTGGTACTGCATTGTATTACCCAGACAGCCCTAAAGTGTCACGTGCGTCACCCTGTTTGCAATTTTTCAAAGAGTTTTTAGAGGGAAGCTTGCAAGGGCATATAACTGTAAGCTTGTATAGCCTTATAGAAATAATATAACACTGTTGGTTATTTTTCTTTAATTTGGAAGAATTACTTAAAAGTCATGTAAATTTTGATTTTGGTGAAGCAGTGGGAACCAATACATTTACAGTTGGTACACCATTATTATCCAATCCAATTTTTATATAAACAGGTTTTTAAAAACAGTAATGTTATTGTCTTGTTTACAGGACATGGATTTGATAGAGGTCCTGTGGAAACAGGATGTGGATTTGGGTTTCTCTCTGGACCTTTTCAACCCCGCGAAACCAGAGGGGGAAGGAAAGCCAGTGCGAGTGGAAGATGATGATGTGGAAAAACTGAAGGCCCTTGAGGCTCTGAAGAACGAAACTCCTACAGACACTACAAAGGTGAGTGAACAACTGCAAAAGGTTCAACAGTTTTACCATTGGAACAACAGTCTACAAAGTTGTAATTAATTCAAACAATTAAGTATCTTTCTTAAACCAGTTTTTTTTTGCACCTTGCATTGATTTGGCTAATACATTTGTAACCCCCTGAAATGTTTTCTTGTGTAATCTTGGGTTTTTTCCATTGGAGTTTTTATTCTTAATGTCCTATCCACATATGCAGGGTTATTCATAATTCCCTGACACATTAAAAAAATCGCTAGACTTGAATGGTGCAATGGATGGTAATATAGGACGTGCCGATAGAAAGAGAAACTCTCAAAGTTTATTTTACATACCTCATAAATGCTCTGTGTTCCCCCCTTGTGACACGGCAGACGTCAAGCCGATAATCCATTTCTGTCCGTACCCGCTGCAACATGTCACTGTCGATTTGTGAGATGGCAGCGATGATTCGTCTTCGCAGTTCAGGCATATCCCGTGGCAGAGATGATACAAAGACCTGGTCCTTAACGTACCCCCATAAGAAAAAAATCAAGTGGCGTCAGGTCAGGTGATCTGGGTTGCCAAAATAAACTGGGATAGTTTCTCTTTCTATCGGCATGTCCTATGTTACCATCCATTGTACGATTCAAGTCTAGCGATTTTTTGTAATGTGTCAGGGAATTATGAATAACCCTGTGCAGTATTTTGTTTAGAAAGCCGGGTGGGAACAGATGACTTTGAAGATGTAAGCCTGGATAGGAGAATAATATTAAAGTTGATCTTAAGGATATAATGTGGGAGGGTGTGGATTGGATTTATCTGTCTCAGGATATGGGCCATTGATGAAATCTTGCAAACACAGTAGTGAACCTTCAGGGTCCATAAAAAGTGAAATTGTTGGCCAACTGAATTACTGTCAGATTTTCAGGAAGGACTGTGTTCCATGGAGTCAATCAGTATGTACATTCATGTAGTTAGTTATTTATTCAATGCAGAAACTGTGTACTCTTACAGAAGGCATGTTTCAGGTGAAACTGAGTGGGCAATAGCAAGTTGTTAAATTTGCTTAAATTTTTGCCAAGTTGTTTCTGAGGCTGACAAAATACATAAATCATTTTAACGTTGTTTTCATATCTTTTACTTCACGAAGGACCTCTCTTCGAAATGAACCACTCGGTATGTGTGGTATGAATTGTAGCAGAATTCGGAGCATTAACACTGATGAAGTGATAGTCTCATTACATTACTGATTAAAGTATTATATTTCTATAACAGGAACATTTTCGACTGTGTATTTTGACTGAAAAATGCAGAGGGGTAGAAATGTGTATCAATCTGTATGTTATGTATCCAACATTGCAAGCAAAGGCAGTTGCATGCACTAAAGATACATCAGTGTTCCTGTTATCTTCAGCAGAAGTGAATAATACCGAAAGAGGATATTCATGAACAGACAGAAGCAGAAACTGCAAACAGCAGGGCCCATATTGTTATTTGTACAAAATGGTGACATCTGGTGAAAGAGTTCAAAATGCTGTTCATTTTTTAATCATTGTGCACTGTCGTATTGCCTTTATTCCATCTGTCTTCTGTTGCGTTACTCATCCTGAAAAGAGAGATAAGTATCAGTGGTAGAGGAGCTTGTGGGATTTCTTCCCCTTGTGTCGGCAGGTTCCTTGCCTTTAATGCAGTAGTAGTGCAAGTTGATTGATCTTGGGATTGTTTCATACCTTTCATTAATGTCCAGATTGGTAAGATACCCTCATAATAAAGTAATGTACCAGTTAAATATCATTTATAAACCTTTTTTAAATGCCTCAGTCTGTTTCGGTACTGAAAAACTGGTAGGAAGTATATGAGAGACACAGCAAAATTAAGAACAAAAGTGTACCTCTGTTGCTTGTTTCTATTAAATTGAAGTTGTTTTATTTCTGTGAATACCGTTTTTTGCAGCGTCTAATCAGTTATTCTCTCATCTTCAAATTTTTCAGATTTTACTAAAACACAGAACTGCTTACACCGTGTGCAGTATCTCTGTCTATGTGATATCACTTTTGGCATCTTTCGTAGGCCTGTCATGCAGAGTTAGACTTCATTTATTGATTTTAAGGCTTTTATGTTGTACAAATACTGTTATTTCTTTAAATTTATTTATCTTTAATTCTGCAATATGGATGTTTTATTTCAAATTTAAACTGCCATATATTATTACATTTAAACAAGAAAATGAGGCACCTGGAAAAGTGGCCTAATTTGATTCTTTGATACGTTGTTAATATTTAGTAAGAGACCACTTGTGCCCTTCATGCAGCCAAAATCATGTTTTGGAAGGCTGTCATCAGAGGAGAGTGCAGACTGGTAGGTCGTGACTGGTGGAGTTCCTCGGGGCCCGTCGTCAAGAAGCAAGGCAAAATATGAAAAGGGGGAGGGATGGAATGCTCAGGCCCATAGTTTGTTCACTGGTAGGAAAAGTCTAATAGACATGATTGTGGCACAGATGGAATATGTCATAAGTTGTACAATTTATGAAGAAAGGACATAGACGTAGTCATGGTAGCAGCTGTAGTAATAGTTGTAGTATGGTAGTAATGGTAGTAGTAATTCCAATTTTGTAGTTATCATGCAGTATTTTTATTCACAAATGCACAGAGAATTTTGCTGTAACACTTTGTCATTTTGAAAACAGGAAACTAAGAAAGTATAATTAAACAGCTTCAGCTCCTGCAGTCTAAAAAGAGAAATAAATATAGATTTTATACATTTGAGTGTTATTTTCCATAAAGGTTCCGTACTTTTTAAAAGATCTAATGCTGCATTCCCGTAACACATTTCAATTTCCGCCACAAAAGAGAGTATTGCCGTCAACAGTGATTATGGAGAATTATAAACCTAGAAAAGCAGGTCAGCCTCCTGTATTGTGATGTTGATGCTTTCTTGTTAAGTGGCCATTTGTTACAAAACGTATTAGTAGAGGTACACATATCTGGCTTTTAAACCCCAAATGCCATTTTGGATTATGAAACACTGAGCATTGGTGTCAAATATATAATGAGTGTTTTTAGAAGTTTGAATATTAACTACCAATGTATTACAATCCCACTTTAATTCTAAAAATTAGATGTTTCACACATTGTCCAGTGGAATAGATAAAATATTTAGTGTGAGTGTTTGTAGATGATGTATCATGTTGTTATGGTGTAAGAAAGATTCTAGTCATAGTGCTATTTATTTCACTGCAGATACTGGGTAGTCGTATTTGATGGTTGAAAAGACTGTATTCTTCTTAACCTTTTCGATAGAAAAATGGGATGGGAGAGGTGTTGTACATTTGACTCACTTTGGGTCTGTCAGAAGACTCTCATATTGTCCAAACAGTGCAGGAGTCCTAACATCACAGATAACTGTAGGGTGGTACGAGAACCATCCGGTTTTGACAGTTGGAGCTATTCACACATCTGTTTGTGGAATTTCAAAAATTTATTTGAATTTCTTTTGAAAATTAAGGGTTATTTTATGATGTGGCATAACTGGATGATGTGACATAAACCTTTGTTGACAGCACTTCAACTTTCCTATTGACATTTAAAATACAAATATTTCTTTCTATTAACAATAGATGACAGGGTACTAAAGGTCTAGGTTTAAGTTGCTAAGGTGAACATATACGTATGTAAGTTGTACATTGAGAATGATTATGTCAGTACATTTTATAATTAGTTTAATTAACTTTCTGATATGTAAAGTTTAATAAGCTTATTGCCACTCTTGTGGCAAAATTATAAAAAAAATGTTTACTTGCATTTGCATCGAACAGTGAGTGAGAAAAATGGCCATGTACTAACCATGTTGTCGGTGTGTAGGTAACATAGAAAAAACTTTAATGCAAAAAATCTGACACGTTTTATGAATTTGTAGTCTGTGTAATTGTGAACAAACTTATGAAACACCCAACAATCTTCAAGGTAACTGACTGAAACATAATACAGAGCTATAAAGTAAGGTTACAAAGATGAGATTTGAGGTTCTCAAATGTCAGTTTCCTGAAATGTTGCACTGATGATGGAGGCATCAGGCACCTATGAAAAATCAGTATTATTAGACCAGACTACTTGGTGCAATGTCTCAGAAGACAGTAATCTTCATACTTACTACTGTGAGGACCAGAAATTTCATGTAAAGTTGTACCTGTGACACCTTTGTTTTGTTCATTTAGAATGAAGAGGAAAACCCAGATGATCAGTGGGCTGGTCTTTCATACACCATTGATTTGGAAACAGGTTAGTTACAATCTTTAAAATAAAAATTCTTCTTGCCTCTCCTGGCCTGTGTAAACAGAGTCAAGGTTAGACGTTCATATGTACAATGGAAGGAAATGAAGTTACTGTAAATCAGTTCAATTCATTTTCTACCAAAGATAATGATCTTCTGATAGCTATGAAGTCTGATACATAATTTTGTAAAATTAATTATTTCTACACTTATTTGATATCGTACTTTCTTCAGAGAAGTTCTTTCAATTTTATTTATTTAATGACAAGTGGAATTTTTTAATATTATTCAATGAATTTATGCAGTGGTTTACTTGGTTACATTTCATTGCGTGATCTTATAATTTCCTTCCTAATTTGATACATTAGTTTTATTACTTGTGGTATTATAAATACTCATGAAGTATACTGAAGTTTACTGATATCGCAGCTGTGTGGTAGCCATACTGTAGTTGGAGTTTGTAGTAATGATGAATGAATATGAACTGTTTTTACAAATGTGTAAATGCCAGTTCAAGATATAATCTGCCACATATTTGTAGGTTTACAGTTAATTAGTTTGTGCTGTTTTGTGAATACATGACAATTTTGGACTAAACTTGAAGAATGGGTATTATAATAGAGACTGCCATAGCAGTTGTACCTCTTAATCCAGTCATTCATTTATGATTTGGCAGCTTTCTTTATAATGTGGTGACTGAATAACTATTTGAAAAATGTTAGTTTTATTTCCCCTTCCCCCCTGCTGTACTGACAATTTGACTTTATTTAATATATTTAAAGATGAAAAAGGAAAGTGGTGGAGCTGTTTATGAGATGATTTGTATTTTGTTCACGCAGATATGTTTGGAATCTTTTCGTTGTATGAATTATGATTAACAAGTAATTGTGCTTTGACCTTACTGGGTGTGGTGCATACCTTTTCCTGTCATAGTGCTAATCATGCCTTGAGAGAAAGTTGGTGTAGTAGTGTGCAACTTGATTTTAATACAATAAAATACTGCATCTTATTAAATTAGCGAATTCATTAATTTCTGACATTGTACTGAAAGGTAGTGAACCTTCCTCGTTTCGGTGATTGTAATAAGAAAGTAAATACATAAAATAATTAATTGTGTTTTAAGCTTTACTATACAAAGATGATCAGAAGTAATGCAGTTTACATTTACATAAGTCGTAATACAAGAAACAGGAATCATTTAGTTACTTTTGTTTTATAGGTTGCTGCATATTGCAAGTGCTTTAGAGCAGGTGTGTCAAACTTATTGTCTATCAAGAGCCATTTAAATAAAGTTGACTTTTCTGGGGGCCTTGGGGGGAGACATAACTTACTTATTTTTACTTACTACAAGCTTAAGCCTAAGATATATTTTTTATTTATTTATTTATTTTCCACAAAAATGTGAATTTAATTGAAATACATTGCCACTTAATTTCATTGGAATTTGGAAAGTGGTTTGTCAGTAGCTATTTGACGTATATATGAAACTCTAAAAAAAGTATTAATTGGGACATCTGGGACTTCACATTTTGTGAAATTTGAGAACTGAGTCAGACTGTATAAATATTAAACATATAAAATATTGAAAAGGTCTCCATGTGGCCTGCAGGTCACTTGACATGTCTGCTATAGATGATACTATTTATTTCTGTGCATAAATAGTTTTGTATCATCATCACAGTTACACTTTGCTTAAATTATATTTACCTTTCAGCAAGAGATAAGAGCTATAAACAGCTTAACAGCAGTTATTTTTTAAAATTTGTATCTAGTGCTATCCATATTTAATTTCATACAGTAATACATACAGTCAGCAATGTTAGAATCTGAAAGTACAGTATACTTTTGTTGCTGCATTCATGGTGTGTGCGTAAATTATACAAAGTGAAAGCGGACAATATCTCTGAATGGCACTTGGAGGTATGTAATTGCTGTTTTAGCCTTTCAGTTTCATGGAATATGAGGGTTTATGTATTTAGAAATAAAAATGAGTGTCAGATGTGGATGTGTGTAACTCAAGTTCATAGTTGACTTCAACTAGTCACTCGATTAGTTTCGTTCATGTTCCTTGAGCGGCAAATGAACACGTGAGTCAAAAAGTGTTCTTAAATTGAAACGTTCTTTGGAATGCAAGGTGACTTAGATCAGTGACATTAAGGGTGTGATAGATTGGCATTATATAGACTGATCTTGTGGAAGGAAAGATTACATTAATGTATGCCAGAAGTTTCCATGCTGTGGTTCTGCCCCCTGGAGAGTTAGCTGATGGCTGGAAACAATGCTACCACACACCATCTGCAATATAATTAGTGTGAAATTACTTATGCTCAACAATAGTTGATGCTGTGTAATTTATAGAAATACTGTTGTGTTTTGTGTTTTTATTAGTTCATGCTTTGTGTGTCACTGCATTGAAAGAACCAGCTTAATGATTCAAAGGATATATAATTGTACCATTTGAAGACTCTCTCCTGTTTCCACTACGATCAGGCTAGTATGTGTAGGCTTTGGAAACAAACCCTTTATGTTAGCACAATTGTGTGGCTTCCTGCCATTTTAATTCTTAAAAATCTAGAGTTTGTACCATCTTATATATGTGGAAAATATGTTGAGTGATGAACCATTAAGGGTGTTAATTTTGAGATTTATATGATTGACTGAAGGGATGTGGGAAGAGTAATTTGAAAATCTTTGTATTTTGTAATCCTTCACTGTTAGTAAAATATTTCACTCCTTCATGTTTCTTTTTGTTGGGACAGTCTGTTGTAATAGAGGCAATATATAAAAGTTATAATATGCATAGTTTAATGGTTACTGATTGCATATTGTATTCTGAAAGAATTCAAACCGTTCTTTGTTTTCTGTATTGAATTTTTTGTGGTTTTCTTAATCCTGACAGAAACTCCCTTAAAATAGCCCACAAACACTTTCTTCATCCCCACGTTACTTGTTCTTTGTAAAAATAATATAGTAGTATTTGAGAAACAATAATCTTTATTTCTTTGTGACTTGTCATATTCATATTCAAATATGGTCACCATAGGTTATAGGTTGCCAAGATATAAATTGTAAATGCCAGCCAGGTATATATAGCATGAATAAATATTTGAATGTAAGAAAAAAGTTACTGAATTGCAATACTAACATTGGTTTTAATACTAATGTTTGATTTATTTATTTATATTGCCTAAGAATGATTTTCTTATAAGTCAGCTATTCTGCTGTACTTATGTATCTCTGTAGTCTTCTGTGTCTTTGGTTGTACTGCAGGAGCTGTTTTACTCATGCATTGGTTTCATGGTTAGTTTCTTTTGGAGATATCTTTGACTTTTAACAGGACAGATGTTGGAATTTAAAAGAACAAGTGTTTGCTTCTTCTATATTCCATTACTTTCAAGTTTCGAGGCTGCTAACACATATTGTTTAGTCCTCTCTGTTTCCCTCTTCTTCCCTTCATCTTCTTAATTCTCATCACTCAAGACAGCATTAGACACATGACAGACATCACTTACTTTGTATGATTAAATAATTACACGGTCATAGAAGATTACTAACAGTTATTTTTGAAACAGTAATCTTCCTGTTTTTTCAGTAAATGACTTTTGCACTGCTGTGGGAAATGTGGTAAAGGTTAAAGGTTGAATGATAAATGACAGTAGAAAATTAGGATAAATTCTAGGTACCTGGTGTGAGAGTAGTGATGTGAAGTGATGTATTCCGTCTGAGAAAGTAATGCAACTATAAACAAGAGAACTTTAGTTTAAGAAGACTTCCTAGGCATTGAGCAGTACGGCTGTATTTCAATGCTTATATAGAGAGGAATGTGTTGGTGTAGGGATAAAGCACTGGTCTTAGATGCAGGAGGTTTGGTATTCAAGCCCAGCTGGTGGGACTTTCCTTTTCAAATTCTTTCCCCTTAATTTATTGACTTTTGGCTGTATTGGTACTATTCAAGTTTCTCTGTAGGAATTAGAATGCAAGTTTCATAACAGCTTCATTTAGAATAAATATAAGACAGAATTGAAGTTGATAATTTGAATGACATTTCATTACAGAATACTTGACTTTTTGCGAATAGCTATAATTAAAAGTAGAACGAATTGTGGGATGGGTGGGAAGAGCATATGATGAAGAGTGACATTTTCTCTCTTTTTGCAGTAATTTTTATATTATTTAATTTATTTATGAATATACTTGATTACTGTGCATGACTGTAACATAATGTTCACGCTTTGCATTATGTGGCTCAATGATCAATGTGATGGGGCATGTAGCATTCATGGGAGACATGAGAAGTGCATACAGTATTTTAGTAGGAACACATGAAGGGAGTTCACGTCAAAGACCTATAAGTAGTTGGGAGGATACTATTAAAATATCTTAATAGATATAAAATATCTTAATAGAGTATTAGGATGCTGATTGGAGTAATCTAGCTCAGGATATTATCCGTTGGTGATCTCTTCTGAACTTGATAATGAACCTCCAGGTTCCATAAAAGGTGAGGAATTTTTTTGACAAGCTGAGTGACTTGGTTTCTCACAAGGATTCTGCTACATGGACTTCGCCAAGTCATTCTAAAACTATTTCTGTGTGGAACTCGTAAGGGTTCCAGAAATTTCATTATGATCACCAGCATGAAAACAGTTTTTCCAAAAATTGTAGTCCTTACAGACTTAAAAAACAATGTTATCTGTAAATACAAGATAAAATGAGTGGTTTAACCACCTGTTATAGATGGTTGCTATGTTAAAGAAAATTAGTTACAGAATATATTACAAAAGCAGGAATCTGTTCTGCATATTTTGCATAGTTTATTGTTTTTGTTTAAGTTCTTATGCTGTGATGGCCTCTAGTGTTACCAAAGGAAAGTATATTGGGGTGTTCTTTCCTAGTTACATGATCAAGAGAATGAAAATAGTAACATGAGTGATGGGGTTGGGGCCATAGAAACTGAACTGTATGTAAAGGAAAACCTTAATTGAAATGTTGAATGGAGATCTATGTT